CTCTCTCTCTCTCTCTCTCTCTCTCTCTCTCTCTCTCTCTCTCTCTCGTGTGTGTATGAAAATGTCGACGATTCCTTGTCTCCACTCTCTAAGCACTATGATTACCGCTGTGTAGCCACACTCTCCAGCATTTAAATGGGTTCTGGGGCTCCATGCTCTTCATGTGCCTACAGCCAGCACTTTAACTGCTGAGCCACCTCCCAGCCTTGCCTTATTTTTTGAGACCAGGTCTCTCCACTGATCCAGAAGCTGACTGTTTTGTTTAGATTGGGTGGCCACAAGTCTCCAGATGTGCACTGCCACAGCTGGATTTTTAAATGCATGCTAAGGATCTGAACTCTACCTCTCATGCTTGTTCAGCAAGCACTTTGCCCATTGAGCCGTATTTGTAGGCCCCAGCCATCACTTCTTAGGGTTTTATTGCTGTGGAGAGACACCATGGCCCTAGCAACTCATAAAGGAAAACATTTAATTGGCTTATAGTTCAGAGGTTTAGTCCATTATCATCATGGCAGGAAGCATGACTATATGCAGGCAGATGTGGTGCTAGAGGAGCCAAGATCTTCATCTTGATCAGAAGGCAGCAAGGAAGAGGCTCTCATTCCACACTAGAGAGCCTAAGCATAGGAAAGCTGAAAGCCCACCCTCACAGTGACACACTTCTTCCAACGAGGCCACACCTCCTAATAGTGCTACTCCCCATGGGCCAAGCACTCAAAGACATGAGTCTATGGGGACATTCCTATCAAATCACCACAATCCCTTTTAATGTTTGTTTTTCCTTTGAATCAGGCACAGTGTTAGGGAGTAGAAAGTGTGACACACAGCATTCGATTCTTTGCTGGTACACTGCTGCCTTGCACAAGGACTGTGAGCCCAGCACCCAGCTGAGTGCCTATGGTTGAATATTCTACACACATCTTTAGTAAGCCTCAGCGCAGCCATAGCTGCTTGCTGTGGAAGTAGTCCCAACTCCAGAATGCTAACTCAGCCATGACTGTTTCAAAACAACTTTTGCTTGACTCATTGCCTTCAAGGCCTCTGTGAACTCTCAGTGACCCTGTAGCCAAGCTCTCACCCTGGCCAGAGGAGGAGCACTTCTCCAGGTGGCCCAGCAGAAGATCTGTGGGATTGGTTCACGTGTGGGCCTTCATTTGCATGAGGGGATGCCATGACTGGTGCAGACATGTTTGCCAATCCCTCTACTGGGATGAGCAGGGTGTTCTCCTCCCGTTCTGAGTCAACCAGGAGACATCATCCTGCGCCAGCTCCCAAATGTTATAGCATGAAGCCCGGGTTTCTCTCAGTGGTCGTTTTAATTCGCCTATTTTTTTTTTTAATTTTGTTGTTGTTATTGTTCTAGAGGTTGTTTTGTTTTGGTATGATTGTTGTTCTGGTTTTGTGTGACAGGGACTCAGAATAACTCAGGCTGGCCTTGTACTCAATATGTAGCCAAGAATGACAAAGTTTGTATCCTCCTTGCTTCTACCTCCCAAGGAGTAGGATTCTGCCATAGAAGTGAAAAGGGGGGTGGGAGGGAGGTGTGCTTCTAGAGAGATGGCTTCAGTGGTTAAGAGTTCTTCCACAGGATTGGAGTTTGGTTCCCAGTACTCGTGTTAGGTGGCTCACAACAGCTACTGGAGAGCCAATGCCTCTGGCCTGCATACACATGCACGGCTTTGGGCATTGGTTCTCTTCTTCCAGGAATTGAACTTCTTGCATCAGACTGAGCAAATGTCTTTCCCCACTAAGCTATCTCGATGGCCCCGATTTTGATATTCATTATCACAAGAGTTTGCTGAGCTGATAACACAAGAGGGTTGGGTGTGGCAGTAGAGCAGCCTTGAAGATAGCAACAACAACCACAAGAGGGCAACTGAAGAGTTCCAGAAAGTGGGGGGAGGAGGGGGCAGAAACAAAGGAGTAAGATGAGGACAAGGAGGACCATAAAGAACTGCCAGCCCCATCACTGGGAAAGTTCCAGGGAGTGCTAAACATCAAAGGCCACAGTTTGTGACACCCTGAGCCCAAGAGCTGTATCACTGAGGATGTCAAGGACTGAGGATGCTAATATCCGAGTTGTGGCACTGACCACTGTAGGGCTGAGGGTTCCAGCACCGGAGGCCTGCTGGGATCCCACTGTTAGAGCTGCCACTGCTGCTACACATTGCTGCTGGAAGCTGAGGATTCCAGTGGTCTCTAAGTGCCAGGGCTACTGGTAGTTAAACTCCTAACCTGATGCCTAGAATTTTTAAGTCTCTAGCTTCTACAGCCTGGAACTAGAGGCTCTGTCTGAGCTCTTAAGGTTTAGAGCCATAAGCCTCTGGTCTCTAGTCTAGTCCTTGGGCGTTGGAAGCACTTGGGGACTTGGGACTGCCAACTATGAATAGTATCTTCACTTATATTCCTATATTCTATCCAGTTAGAGCAAAGGGATCCAACGATGTGACTAGTGACATTGTTACGTTTCAGATTCATTTTTTATTTTCTGGGTTTTTTTTATTGTTTTTTTTTTGTGTGTGTGTGTGTGTTTGTCTGTCTGTTTGTTTGTTTTGAAACAAGATGTTCCAGGCTGACCTGAAACTCTGTAGACCAGACTAGTGCCAAATAGAAGAGATCTGCCTGCCTCTGTCCTCTTGAGTGCTATGATTAAAGGCCTACCACCATGCCTAGTTGTTTGGTTTTGTTTTTTAAGATTATTTTACTGTAAATTTTATGTATATGTGTATGTGTATGTGAGTGCAAGTATGCACACCACACGGACACAGATGCCTGTGGACTCCAGAAGAGGGCATCAGACTCCCTTGACCTAGAGTTACAGACAGTTTTGAGTACCTGTAAGGGTATTGGGAATGGAATCTAGGTCCTCTGCAAGAGCAGTGAGAGTGCTTAACCATTGAGCCAGCTCTCCAGACCCATTTTATTTTATTTTATTTTATTTTATTTTATTTTATTTTATTTTATTTTATTTTATTTTTGAGATAGTCTTGCTTTGTTTGTTACCAAGAATGGCCAGGAACTCCAGAATTCAGGTGATCTTTCTACCCTAGACTCCTGAATAGAATGTCTACCTGGGCCACCACTTCATCCAGCTGTTTTTTAGGTGTTTTGTTCTGTTTTGTTTTGTTAAACTTCATAGTTCATAAAGTGTTGATTCTGAGACTTTTACCAGCTTATAGGCCTATGACAGCTCATATCCTAGTGCTTTCTTGAATCAGTTTCTATTGATGATGTTACAGGGTGCAGGCATTTTTTATGGTTACATTTCCTTGATAGGTTGATTCCTAAAAGAAACAAGCCATTTAGCCAATAGTGCATGCCTTAACACAGCACTTGGGAGGCAGAGGCAGGTGGATCTCTGTGAGTTGAAGGCCAGCCTGGTGTACAGAGTGAGTTTTAGGACAGCCAGAGTGCTACATAGTGAGACCCGGTCTCAAAAAACAAACAAATGGACAAAAGAAATAAGCCATTTAAAATTACTGTTACTGTTATTATTATTATTGTTATTATTATTGTGTGTGTGTGTGTGTTATAGACATGAACTTTTGTTTATGTTGCATACCCAGATTTATGTACAGAGGTCACTCAGAAGACATTTTTGTGAAATTGATTCTCTTCTTCCACCTTTACCTGGGTTCCAAGGGTTGGGCTCAGGTTCCCAGAGTTACATGGCAAACACCTTTACCAGCTGAGGGACCTCACTGGCTCCAAACAAGCCATTCTAAGTGTAAGCAGTAATCAGTTCTCTCATGTCAGTATTCATTGTAACCATTTTTAATTTTTTATTAGTTATCAAAATTAATTTTTAGTGATATATTGCAGTTATATAGATTTGATTTTTTTTCAAGACAGGGTTTCTCTCTGTACCTGTGACTGCCCTAGAACTCACTCTGTAGACCAGGTTGGCCTCAAACTCATAGAAATCAGCCTGCCTCTACCTCCTAAATGCTGGGATCACAGGTATGTCCCACCATGCCCAGCTGATTTGAATTTTTTCCACTGTTGTTGAGTGTGAACTTAGTTGGTTTAGGGCAAACTTCTATAAACTCATTTCCTTAGATCACTGGGCTCCAGGCTTTCATTGGCTGTTGGCTGTCCATCTTTACTGCAGCCTGGTCTTCCAAGCCTGGTCCTGAGTCAAATCTATGTATGGAACACGGTTCATCCTGCCAGTCCCAATATTCCTAACCATGTACCAGGTCTGGACAGGTTTGGGGGGACATGGTAGAGACCAACACACACACACACATACACACACACACACACAGAGTGAGAGAGAGAGACAGAGAGACAGAGAGAAAGACAGAGCAGGGAGGGAGAAGGAGAGGGAGAATGTGTCTAAGTCCTTCTGCTTACCCATTATGCTGCTGAAATGAAGTCAGGTGGACCCTTCATCTCAGCTACCTGACCTCAGGCACAGTGCTGAGTCCTTGTCAGAGGCCCAAAGAAGGAAGTCCTCCTGGGCACCAGACACGTCCTGGAAACACAGGGATTTAGAATCTCTAGGTTTCTTCTGGCAGTCACCTCACCTGTAAGGAGTTCCACTGAGGACAGAGCATCCCATGGGCTTCAGGTGTGACCACAGATGACTTTGCTAGCCCTTCCTTGTGGAGAAGCCACATCACCTGCACAGGTAGAGACATGATGAGGGCAGGGCCAAGGGCAGCCATATGGAGAATTTCTACCCTTGTCACCTATACATAACAATCCCAAGCAGTCCATCTCCTTACCCAGTGTGGCTTGATCTCTGGCACACTAATGGGGTGGATTCTTTACATATCCACAGGGGTCCAGGCAGCCACTCATTTGTCTGTTCTTTCACCTAGCCTGAAGTGCAGCCTCCTGGACCACCTCCTACTCCACTGAGCACCACAGCTCTGCAGCCCCACAGTGGCTCTAACTCCCAAATCACTGAAGAGGCCCAAGATGCATATGCCCCGGGACTCGTTCCCCACTGACTGGAGCCCACCTCCTATAGAGTTTCTAAACAAGAGCAAGAAAGCACCTCCAACCAGAGGACCCCTGGAGGACTTGGAGAAGGACCCTCCAGATTCCGACCGGAAGGTGGAGCTGGCCTCTCTGGAGGAGCTCTTCTGGAACATGGCAGGTCCAAGCCAACAGGCTGGGACCCCAGAGGTAAGTGAGGCAGTGGCCATCTTGGCTTCCCCTCATTGGCCTCTCCTTTTGGTGACCTTTAGTTGCCCACAAGCCAGCTCTTTCTGATGACCCCTTCTACAGCCATGCTCCAACTCCCACTCTGCACCCAGCCACCCCCTCCCTGTCCCAATTCCTGCCGATCTTACCTCTCCCCAGCCCTAGGGCTCTCATAGCCAAGAGTTCAGACTTCAAGCCAGATCCCACTCCTCCCGGAGTTTCCACTCCTAACTCATGAAAGCCAGGGGTGACAGCAGAATGAATGTCTTCCTGCATGGGGCCCCTCAAGGCTTTCACGGCTAAGGTTAGGGTTGGCCTTGGAGCAAAAAGGAACCTCAGGGTCAGGATCCAGTCTTGGTAGCATACAAAACCTATGACTGAGGTTCAAGAATAGAGAGCCTAAATAAGATCTCAGTGATGTCTTGTGGGAAGTAGAGTATGGGACACTTTTTAGGGCCATGGTCTCAGGAAATTTATTCTGAGCATCATGTTTCATTATTTGCCATAGCCCAGGATTATCAGTAGCCTGAATGCTTGCCACTGGGGAACTAAGGAACTATGTTCTAGCCATGTATAAGAATACCCTGATAATGTTAATGAGTACATAACACACACACAGATGCACACATATAGATACATATACACACATACACACACATGCATACATATACTACATTATCCATACATACACACAAATACATATATATGCAGTCTCTTTGGCATTAATATGAAATGACATCCAAGATGTATTTCTGATTGGAAAGAGCCAAGTGCAGGATGAGATATGAGGCATATATATTATGTCTGCTGAGTTACAGGGGCTGAATTACTGCTTGCTTGTGCTTGTATAGCAACATCTAAAAGCACACAAGTGCTTTTACCTGTGGTTGCCTGTGGGTGGGCACTAGGAGAGAACCTTTATACTTTTGAATTTTTTTTAAAAAAAAAAATCATATATCTGTTGAGAAAAGTGAGCAGAATATATTAACATCAATCAATCCTCCTGCGTTTTTCCCTTCCCTTCCATGCCTGTGTCCTATCTTTCTAGATTTCCTCTCGGGGCTCGGAGTGCTATGTCAATAACTTAGATTACTTACTGCAAGAAAAAAGGTGAGTATGGGATGAGGTCCATTGTAGGGGCAACGATGTTTTGTGAAAGACTCATAGACTGAGGACTAAGCAACCCCGTGTGGGGATGGGGCAGTCTTCCCAGCAGGTGTGGCATGCCCTGTGTGCTCACAGGCTTATAGGCAGGTCCAAAATGGAGGCTCTGAACCCCCACCCAGCCACATCAGGAGCAAAGCCCTTATCCCAGGTCCTTCTTCCTCCGAGCCTCCACCCATGCCCAGTTCATGCCACAAGGGTGTCCCATTACAGGAGCATGGCCTCTGGCCCGTCCCAGTGCACCTTTGGCCGATTCTCCTTCTCACATTATCTGGTCCCACTTGTCTTCTTCCTGCCTCCCCCACATGACATCTCATAAAGAAGAGGGCAGTTTCTGAAGACAAGAGTCCTGTTGGTCAGAAATAGACATGTCTTAGTGGGGTGGAGCTGGTGTCAGACACCAGTGACCTCTCAGGGAGGAGGCTGGCTTGTGTGGAGGGGCCTTCTGGAATGGAACTGTAGGCTCCTCCTTTGCACAGTAGATGCCTCACTGTAAGGTAGCCAGGAACGGCTGCTCACATGTGGGGTTTGCTGTTTTCTCATGACCTAACTCTTTCCTCTGTCCCTTTTCCTGTGTGCATGTGTGCACAGAGACTAAATGAAGGTGTGTGTAGATGCATGTGGCGCGCAGGTGGAGCTCCTGCCTCTTAACTCCTGCTGGAAGCATCCATGCTCACCGTCTCAGAATCTTTTCCCAGAGCCCACAGCCCTGCATTCTTGTCCACAGAGTGTAGTGAGGTGCACACATGGGTGGACAGTGGTTTTCTCTGGATTTATGCATTCTGACCACTCCAGAGTCAGTCCACCTTCTTCTTCTATACAGTGACTTTGACTTTTAATATCTCAAAGCTATTGCTTGGAACATGATGTAGGGAGTCGATGGTACCACTCTACTTGCCTGGAAATTCATCTTGACTCTGGCGTCTTCCGTACTGTTGAGTTGCTGAGAAGGGCTTGCCCTCGAACCTTGGAGAGGGAAGGATGCTGTCTTGTAAAGGCAGATAGCATAGACCATGCTGCTCTTGGTGGGCTGGGACAGGAAATCTGGGTGCTGACAGGTAGGAGAGATGGGGCCATAGATAAAGCAATGATGTGGTAAATCTGTGGACACAGACACCCACTGGATCATGGGAGTTTCCTAAGAGGCAGAAGTGTGTTTTTCTGCATGCTAAGGAAAGATCACATGGACTGTCCTAGAAGAAATGATGCAGTGGTGAGAAACTAGCAGAGCTGGGAGAGTGGGGTCCTGTCGGGGGAGGAGGGATGTGGAGGCTCCTGGTGGTCTTGTGGCTGGAGCTGCTGGCCTCTAGGTTGTTTGAGGAATAAAGACTTAGGCATGTGACCTGAGAAGAGCCAGTCACCAAGCTAGAAATCAGCAGGTCTGAACATGTGATAGAGACCTTGGTAGGAGATGGAATTTTTCATCTTGAGCTATGGAAACTCTAGGGAGCCCCTAGAAGGGCCAGGTAAAGGGTAGGGACTCCCCAGATTTTTTCACCAGTCTTCAGAAGCAAGGAAAGCAAAGGCAAAAGTATGTTTCATGTTCTCTAGGAATGTACAGGATTATTAGGGTAAGAGTAAGTGAAAGAATCAATCAGTCCATTTTCTGTTGCTGTAACAGAATACCTGAGACCAGGAGGTTTATAGAGAAAAGAGGCTATTTGGTTCATGTTCTGGGAATTCAAAAGCATGTTGCTGGCGTCTGTACAGTTTCTAGTGAGAGCTTTATGCTCCCCTCGCCCCTGCCCCCATGGCAGATGGAAGGGAATAAAGGAAAACAAATAACATTAGGGAAAAAAAAGAAAAGAAAAGTATTCACCCATCATTGAGCCCAATGCCTCTTGATAGCCCTTTTACCTGTCTGTCGGTAGTGTTTCTCTGAAGTCTATATTTCCACATGAGTTTAGAAGGACAGACTATAGGCAGGGCATAGCAGAGATCTGTGGCTCCAGCCGGATAATAGTAGGTACAGCTGACCTTAGTAGAGGCTAACCAGAGCTGGGAGTGAGGCTCACTGAGTGAGGAAAGGAAATAACACACTCCTACCTGCTGCAGGACAGGGGCCAAAGGGTGAGGGAGAGAAGGGTGTGTGGGGATGGGAGGGAGGCTCTGGCCTCTGAGGGTGGAGGTGCAAGTGGTGAGTTGGGGCTGCTGAGGACCTGAGGGCACAAGACTCCTCTCATCGTATGCTAAGCCCTGGGGTGATAGAAGAGCAGACCCAGTTCTGGGGTTATAGAATTAACCAGTTAGAGAATGAGGAATGTCAAAACAAGATCCACAAATAAAGACACATTCAACATTGTATGGCGAATGCTCTACTTTCACCATTGCCACTGGAGACAAAGCAGAGCTCTGTCCTCCAGGAGTAAGTATCAGAGCCTGCTCCAGCATGCTGTGCTCTGGGGGTGGGGGACCCCAGGGGAGACAGGTGGACATCAGGTAGCAGTGCCAGAGGATGGCTCAGACTCTCATTTCCACCAAAGGGAGCAGGCTCTGGAGCAGGAATGGGAGCAGCTGCTGCAGCAGGACCATCCCAGGCTGGAGTCCTCTGCATATGATGATGACGATGACATCGACAGAGAAGCAGTGCTCATGCCCGAGCACAGGTATGAGTCGGGCCCTGTGGGGATGGGCGGTTTCACCCAGCAGTGTGTGCCACCTCCTCTTCTTATGGCCTCAGTCACAGATAACCAGTCGCCTGCTGCTGGCCTTCATAGGGCAAATGACCTTCTAGGAGACAGATGCTAAAGCAGCCCAGTTATCAGCCAAGTTCACAGAGCTCTGTTTCATGGGAATAGGTACACAAAAACCACAGTCTTGACTGAAAACTGCCCAGAAGGAGACTATGGCCACAGGAAATTGTTCATCTTCCCCTGACTAGGGGAAGGAAGATGGGCATGAGTGCTGTCCTCAGCTTTGCTGAGTTAGCTTCCATTGGACTATGGTTTGAGGGAGGGCTGAATTCATCTATTCCACAGGGTCTGAGATGCCTGGGGACCTCAGTGGAATCGATTTTTATGATATTCTGTTTTCTATGTGTGATCATTTGAGTAAGATGGCCCCCACAGGCTCATATATGTGATGTTTAGTCACAAGGGGGTGACTAAGGGACTCTTCAAAGGATTAGAGGGTTAGGAGGTGTGATCTTATTGGAAGAAGTTTGTCATTGGGCATGGGCTTTGAGGTTTCAAAAGCTGATAGCAGGCCCAGTGCTGCCTCTCTGCCTATAGATCAGAATGTAGTTCTCAGCTACTGCCACAGCACCTGCCTGCATGCTGCCATGCTCCCTGCCATAATGATAATGGACTACTCTGAAAGAAAGCCCCTAATTAAATGCTTTCTTTCATAAGAGTTGCCTAGGTCATGGTGTCACTTCACAGCAATGGAACAGTGACTAGTATATTATGTATCTTAACCCTTTAGGGCTGCTGTGAGATAGGTGTAGATAAGCCCCAGAAATCTGCTTTGTTGTTGTTTTGCTTTGCTTTTTCTTTGTTCAAGATTTCTGTGTAGCTCTAGCTATTCTGGAACTTGCTCTGTAGACCAGGCTAGCCTTGAATTTAGAGACCTGCCTACCTCTGCCCCCCAAGTGTTGGGATTAAAGGTGTGCTCTGCCACACCCAGCTCTCAGAAGTCTGCTTTCTACGGTGGATTCCAGACGCTGGGAGTCTGAAGTCACGGCACCAGGTCCTGTGGAGAGCTCTCGTGTTCTCGGATGGAAGAGAGATGGCCAGAGACCTCTGAGGTCCCTGACATGTTTTGGGTGTGTTTGGAGTTTTTTCTTTCAGTGTTGGAGTACATGCCAGGCATACATTCTTCCACCAAGCTATCTCCCCAGCCTGGGTTCTCTTACAGTGATGATAATCTCATTCATGAAGGTCCCACCCAAAGATGAGACCCTGCCATGTTGGGGATTAGGATTCACTGTAGGTGATTTGGAAGGTCCTGTTCAGTCTATACGTCACAGACACCCATGTCTTTATCTTCCTGGTCATTAACTCATTCATCTGTCCATCAGTGTCCATTGTCAACATGTATCAAGCTCTTTGGCATCATTTGCTCTCAGCTCAGAGAGACAAACAATAAACAAGACAAAACTGATGGCAGAGGATAATGTGCGAAGGGAGTTGAAGGAATGCTGGGAAAGGAATCATTGGGTGAGGGTTAGGAAGGGCTTTTCAAAAGGCGACTGTTAAGCAAATCTGAAGGCAGTAAGAACCAGACTTGGGACAAAGGTCAGGGAACTAGAAGTAGGTCTTGGAGGTGTTTGTTCCAGGTAAGCGGGTGCCACTGATCTGACACACACCTGAATGGCATCCTGTAGCAAGGGCAGACTAGTGAAATGGGGGCAGAAGGGAGCCACAGGGTGGAGAGTATATGGTGATAAGAATTAAAATGGTTCCTTTTCCTGGATTCACCTTATAACACAGAAGACTTCTGAATCCAGAAGATGGAGGATTTCTCTCTAACGGGGATCAGGATCAAACCAGGTGATGTTCTCTGAAGTCTATATATTATCTACCTGGAGACCATCTGATCCCACAGTGGGGACTCCATCCCGATGATAGTGCCCTGTCCCCACTCCAGACGCTTGTCACAAGCCCCGGTTATTTTACTTGTCCTCCTTCTCCTTCTCCTTCTCCTTCTCCTTCTCCTTCTCCTTCTCCT